GAGATAGAAGAACCCCTCCGCCCCCTTGGAATCGAGGGGGCCCGAAGGGTCCGGACCATCTTGGACTCGAGGCGCCGGATGAGTGGTCTCCAGTATCTCGTGGAGTGGGAGGGGTACGGTCCGGAGGAACGGTGCTGGGTGCCTAGGAGGGACATCCTAGATCCGTCCCTCCTGACTGAGTTCCACCGTGGGCATCCCACGTGCCCGGGTCCGCGTCCTCCTGGCCGTCCCGAGGCCGGGGTCGGCGCACGGCTGGAGCCGCGCGTCAAGGGGGGGGGGGGGGTACTGTCACGGATTCTGCCGAGACTGCTCCTCCTCCTGGTTCGGGCAGGCTTCGGCGTTCGCCGTCCCCGGAGTACTAGCTGCCACCGCTCCATGTTTCTTGGTGTGATTGCTTTCGTCTGTCTTTTACACCTGTGTCCGTTTGTGTGCTGATTACTTGTCCTATAAGTTCCTTGTTTTGCTTAGGTTAGATTGTGTGTTGTTTTTCGCCTGTCCGTTGTGCTGCGTGTTTTGTACCTGTTTTCTTGTTTGTTTGTTTTACGCACAGTTTGCTATTTGCTCGCCTCTGTTTTATGTTGAGGCCGTTCTCTGTATTTTGCCTATTGGTAAACTTCAGTAAACTTTGTTGGACTAGCTTCGGTGTCCTGCGCCTGACTTCCACACACCTTACACCTCAGCTCGTGACAGTTATGAATAGCAGGCCTGGTTTCCCAGATTTTCCATAGTGTTCTATTGTTTCCAATACTTGCCTTATATTATCTCCAATGTATCTTCCATGTAAAAAACCTGTCTGATTAGAATGAATAATATCCGACAATATCTTTTTAATTCTATGCGCTATACATTTTGCTAGAATCTTTGCATCACAACACTGAAGTGTAAGGGGCCTCCAATTTTTTTAAAGGTCTGGATCTTATATTTTCCTGTTTCAGTAATAATAAGATCAGACCTTCTTCTTGAGTGTCAGATAATCTACCATTTACATAGGAGTGGTTAAAACATGCTAATAACGGTCCTCTTAGTATATCAAAAAAGGTTTGGTATACCTCGACTGGTATGCCATCCAACTCTGGAGTTTTCCCTGACTTAAAGTCTTTAATTGCATCCAGAAGTTCCTCCTCTGTAATTTCACCTTCACATGAGTCTTTGTATGGCTGTTAATTTTACATTATCAATAGAAAAAACATCTCTACAATTAGCTTCAGTTAGAGGAGATGGAGGCGACTGAAACGAAAACACACTGCACCTTAGAGACTGCTGCCATATGTACATAGTCATTGAGCACTGGTCACTTTAATAATGTTTACATACTGTTTACCCACTTTATATGTACCGTATACTATATATCGTATTCTAGTCAGGGTCATCCTATATAAATTTGCTGTACACCCCTTTTCTTGAATATACTGTCTTTACACCCCATTATACACTACCAGTCAAAAGTTTAGAAACCTATCATTCAAGGGTTTTTTCTTGATTTATATTTTCTACATTTAGTAAAATAGTGAAGACATCAAAACTATGAAATAACACTATGGAATCATTTAGTAAGCAAAAAGTGTTAAGCAAATCAAAATATACTTTATATTTGAGATTCTTCAATAGCCTCCCCTTGTCTCTTAGATTATCTCAAAAAGTTCACCTGGAAAGCTTTTCCAACAGTTTTGAAGGAGTCCCCAATACGCTGAGCGCTTGTTGGCTAATTTTCCTTCACTCTGTTCCGCCCCTCATCCCAAACCATCTCAATTGGTTAAGGTCGGGGGATTGTGGAGGCCAGGTCATTTGAGCAGCACTCCATCAGTCCCCTTCTTGGTTAAAATAGCCCTACACAGCCGGGAAAGATGTATGGGTCATTGTTCTGTTAAAAAACAAAATGATAGTCCCATTAAACCCAAACCAGATGGGATGGCATATTGCTGCAGAATGTGTGTATACCCTTTTATGCTGGTTCAGCCTTGAATTCTAAATAAATCACAGACAGTGTCACCAGCAAAGCACCCCCACACCATAACACCCCTCCTCGTGCTTTCGGTGGGAAATACACATGCGGAGATATCTTTCACCCATTTACATTTACATTTACATCATTTAGCAGACGTCTATCCAGAGCGACTTACAAATTGGTGCATTCAACTTATGATAGCAAGTGGGCCCAACCACTTTTTATGGGGGGGGGGGGGGGTGGTAGAAGGATTGCTTATACATTCCAGGTATTCCTTAAAGAGGTAGGGTTTCAAGTGTCTCTGGAAGGGGGTCATTGACTACGTTTGTCCTGGCGTCGTGGGGGAAGCTTGTTCCACCATTGGGGTGCCAGAGCAGCAAAATAGCTTTGACTGGGCTGAGGGGGAAAACTGTGCTTCTGTAGAGGTAGGGTAGCTAGAGCCAGAGGGGATGACGTAGAGCCCTCGTTGGGTGTAGGGTCTGATCAGAGCCTGAAGTTAAGGAGGGTCCCGTTCCCCTCACAGCTCCGTAGGCAGCCCCAATGGTGTTTGTAGTAGATGCGAGCCTCAACTGGAAGCCAGTGGAGGTGTTGGGAGAGCGGGGGGTAAACATGAGAGAATGGGAAGGTCGAACACCAGACGGGCTGCGACTTCTGGAAAAATTTTGTGGGGGTTTTTTAATGGCACAGACATGGAGCCCAGCCAACAGCGAGTTGCAGTAATCCAGACGGGAGATGACAAGTGCCTGGTTTAGGACCTGTAAGGCTTTCTGTGTAAGGTAGGGTCGTACTCTGCGAATGTTGTAGAGCATGAACCTGCAGGATCGGGTCACGCTTTAATGTTTGCAGAGAACGACAGGGTGTTGTCCAGGGTCACGCCAAGGCTCTTTGCACTCTGGGAGGAGGACACAATGGAGTGTCAACTGTGATGGCGAGGGTCATGGAGCGGGGAGTCCTTCCCAGGGAGGAAGAGCAGCCGTCTTGCCCAGGTTCAGCTGAGGTGGTGATCCGACATCCACATTGTGTTGCCAGACATCAGAGAGCGATTCGCCCCCTGGGTTATCAGAAGGGGGAAAGGAGGAAAAGATTTTTGTGTTGTCTGCGTAGCAATGAAGGAGAGACCATGTGAGGATATGACAGAGCCAAGTGCTGGGGTGTATAGAGAGAATTGGGAGGACCTAGAAATGAGCCCTGGGGGACACCAGTGGTGAGAGCACGTGGTGCAGAAACAGATCTGCCACGCCACCGGTAGGAAACAACCTGTCAGGTAGGACGCAATCCAAGAGTGAGCAGCGCCGGAGATGCCCAACCGAGAGGGTGGGAGAGGAGGATCTGATGGTTCACAGTATCAAAGGCAGTGGATAGGTCTAGAAGGATAAGAGCAGAGGAGAGAGAGGAGGTGCTTTAGCAGTGCGGAGAGCCTCCGTGACACAGAGAAGAGCAAATCTCAGTTGAATGACCAGTCTTGAAACTTGACTGGTTTTTGGGTCAGAAGGGCATTTTGAGAGAGATAGCAGGAGAGTTGGCTAGAGACGGCACGCTCAAGAGTTTTTGGGGAGAAAAGAAAGAAAGGGGTAATGGTTGTAGTTGTTTACATCGGAGGGATCGAGTGTAGGTTTTTTGAGGAGGGGTGCAACTCTCGCTCTCTTGAAGACGGAGGGGACATGGCCAGCGGTCAGGATGAGTTGTGAGCGAGGTTGAGGTAAGGGAGAAGGTCTCTGGAAAAGGGTCTGGAGAGGGGAGGAGGATTGGGTCAAGCAGGAGGTTGTTGGGCGGCCGGCCGTCACAAGTCGCAGATTTCATCTGGAGAGAGAGGGGAGAAAGAAGTCAAAGCATAGGGCAGGGCAGTGTGAGCAGGACCAGCGGTGTCATTTGACTTAATATTCTTTTCAAAATGGTTGACGAAGTCATCCACAGAGGGGAGGAGGGAGGGGGAGGAGGAGGAGGATTCAGCAGGGAGGAGAAGGTGGCAATAGCTTCCTAGGGTTAGAGCCAGAGGCTTGAATGTAGAGTGGTAGAGAAGTGGCTTTAGCAGCAGAAAAGAGGAAGAAAATGTAGAGAGGAGGGAGTGAAAAGATGACAGGTCCGCAGGGAGTCTAGTTTTCCTCCATTTCCGCTCAGCTGCCCGGAGCCCTCTTCTGTGAACTCTCAATGAGTCGTCAAGCCACGGAAGCAGGAGGGGAGGACGAGCCAGCCGGGAGGATAGGGGACATAGAGAGTCAAAAGATGCAGAAAGGGAGGAGAGGAGGGTTGAGGAGGCAGAATCAGGAGATCGGAGGGAGAAGGATTTAGCAGAGGGAAGAGATGTAGGATGGAAGAGGAGAGAGTAGCGGGAGAGAGAGAGCGAAGGTTGCGACGGTACATTACCATCTGAGTAGGGCAGAGTGAGTAGTGTTGGAGGAGAGCGAGTGAGAAAAGGATACAAGTAGTGGTCGGAGACTTGGAGGGGAGTTGCAGTGAGATTAGTAGAAGAACAGCATCTAGTAAAGATGAGGTCAAGCATATTGCTAGTAGGGGGGGGGGGGGGCGGTGAGAGGGTGAGGTCGAAAGAGGAAAGGAGTAGAAAGAAGGAGGC